AACCAAACTTTTTTCATTTCAAAGCTGGCTTTTTCTTTCTTTCTTTTTCTTCGAGAAAATTAGTAAATTCACTTTTAGAATGCATTGTTAAGATTTTTACTTTTTATTTGTAATTAATACTCTTTTAATTAATAGAGTTATTTAACTAAAAGGGATATTAATTAAGTGTAAGGGATAAAAATCTAAGACTATACATTTTAAGATATTTATTTCCTTTTCCCTTCTCCCTTCTTTTCTCAAGAAAAAAGAAAATTCCCTCCAAAAGGGTTTTTCAGTATCTAATTAGAGTAAGATAGACCCCATTTTCTCCACTATTGGATATTATTTGGAGTATATCTTAGGAATTAAGATAATTCAAATTTCCAAGTTTTAAGCGAGTAAAAATCTTTCCACCTTGTCGAAGATAAGACGTTCAAATTTCACAAGCAACTCAAAAAAAAAAAAAAAAAATAAAAAAGTTACAATTTGCATGCAATACTTTCAAACTGGCTGGATATGTTAAGGGAAAAAGTATCCTTGAACATAGAAGTCAACTTTGCAACTCATAGTCTTGGAATAGAAGAATAGATTGGTGGAGATAATAATTGAACCTTGAAGAGCAATTTGTAAGCTTTCAATTAAACTATGATATCAGGGCATAGAAAATGGTCAGAAAAGAAGTTTTCCTAGGAAAAGGAATATCCCAAACAAAGAAAGTTACTTGAAATGTAGACCAAGAAAACCTCAAAAGAAGTAATGAAGATTTGGAGAACCAAATGCATAAGGGTTGAATCATTTAAACCCCGTGGACCGATTTTAAGAATCCTCAATAACCGATGATCAAACTGGGGGCAAGTTGATAAAATATACGACGAAAGTTGTAACAATGCCAAGAGATGAAATTTATGAACACAATAGCAAAATTGATAAGTGATAAATTTCACCGTCTTATAAAATGTACGATAGTATTTGTAAAAGCGACAGCAAAATATAACTGGTCTATGACACAACATTGAAATGTAAAACCGAAACCTAGAAATGGCGTTGTGAGTTTATCCCACGGCACGATAGAACGACCCCACACTGAGTTAGCAATTCTCATTCTGACCATTGTTAATTTAGACCATATGGAATATGAATTCTGCTTCTTTAAATAACCAAATGGGGAAAGATGATTCAGAAAGCACAAAATCACAATCCACAAATGGCAGTGTTGTGACTGAGGGTCCTTTTAAGTATCAATTCAACGTTTACAATTATAAGCAAGCTGTAATTCGAGAATACATATATTTTAAGGTAATGGATGAACAATGCCATTTTGGAAAATATTGCGTAATTAAGTACAACAAGTAATAATGCAGCTGCCTTTGATGCGACTAATCACATGTGCAAAGCATAGTAGGTTCTAGATTCACTCAAAATAGTTTGTAAAGCTTTTGGTCCTACCTAAAGTAAGAGAAGCTTCAATTTTATCAAAAACCACTAACACAAGAAAGGAGCTTTCTGTGGTAGGATTACCCTCTCAGTAGTGCACGCCACAATATATATTATTTTGATAGTTGTAATAAATTGAATAGATGACCAAAAAAATTAATGAAAATAAATGAAATTGAATTCTTATCAAGTCACGTCATCATATTTCTATATTTGGAGGTGACCATCGATGGAAAGATAATCATTAAAAACTCGTCTGTACGTAAAACTAACAGAATCTGATATAGATTTGACGGCAAGAGTATTTTTTTCATACCATATCATATATTTCTCCTAGCATAATTAAGTTTCACTCTTATTAGTATAACTCCACTTCTGCATTGCTTTAGTATTAGTAATAGTAGTAAATAAAGAAGATTTAGATTTAGATGGAACTAGCTGTGAAAAACAAATCCCGGTATCAACACTAAATTGAGAGAAAGATCAAACAAAACATACCACCTCAGTACTACTCAAAAGAACAAAACAATTCAATTTATTTCATTAAAATATATTCGGTTTGACATTCATGTATGTTTGAACCACCCTTTGCAAATACCAGGAAAGGTGTCCCAAGAGGCAGGGGTTTGACTTTGGGCATATTCTGATGTTGTTGCAGAGGCTGCGACAGGGAAGAATGAAGCTAAATGTTGCATGTCGAGACTAAGATTATTATCGTTCGTTACACCTAAGGATTGACTGCTGGGGATTTCCCCGCTATCGCTGTACCAATGCGGGACATGTTGCAGGGTGTTGGGGGAAAAATTTAACAGCTTCGACAGGTCTTCTGGCAAGGAATTCATCTGCTCTTTAGGCTCTTCCTTTGCCACCACTTCTGCTCATGCATTGGAAAGAATGCTTTGTTATTACTATTGAGAGACGTCATGTGTCAACGCTAGTTTTTAACCAATCATAGATTCACATGTTAACTATGAAATTAACAGATTATGACACCAGGGTTGAGATAATTTTACGTGGCAATGTCTGACTGATTAAAAAACAATCAACAAGGAAGTTTTTCAGTGTCAGTTTTAAGAAACAAAGAACATACCTAGCAATAATAAAACCAATCAAACTACTAAAAGCAGTGTCAGTTTTAAGAAACAAAGAACATACCTAGCAATTAAAATGTGTGTGTGTGTGTGTACTAAAAATTCACCTGAAGAGCTCTCAACAGACCTCTGAGCTTCCTCCAACAGGTTCTCCAAAAGGTCCTCCAACAATCCGCTATTCTTCTCGCTCGTAGTCACCTTGTCATCACACGCAATCTGGGGCTGCTGCTGCTGCTGCTGCTCCCCTTTGTCATCACCCGCAATCGGGGGCTGCTGCTGCTGCTGCTGCTGCCGCTGCAGCATTTGGGGGAATTGGCTTGAAGGGAGCTCCGACTTGACCGAACACATCGGGCCAGACTCGAACTGGGATCCGACGGATTGCGACAAAGCAGGGGGGTTAAAACTCATCGGAAACTGAAAACAGGAGGCGTCACTCAACTGCGTGGGCGGCACGGAAGAGGAGCATTGCGGATAGGACTTGAAACGGAGCGGGGTCCCAAGGACGGGGACGGGGCGGTGGAAGGTGAAAGAGCTTGAGAAAGGGTAGGAGTGGGGCTCAAAGAGGTGGGGAGAGGTTAAGGTCGGGTTGGATTGGAGTGGAGAGGATAAGGGGGAGTGTGGTGGTGGGGTTGGGGAGAATGGGATTGGGGAGTGGTTTTGGAATGGAAAAGTGGGAGTTGTGGGGGTTGTTGGTGTGATTGAATTGCTTGGTGGGGTTGTGGGGTTGTTCTGAGATAGCTGAATATCACTCGGATAAAGAGGTAGGCCTTGGCGTTTGCGTCTCTTCACTCTTGTGTTCCAATAGTTCTTGATTTCGTTGTCTGTTCTTCCAGGTAACTAAGACATGAAAAGTATAGAAATTACAAGCAAAAGAGAAAAAACAAAAGAACAGTTATGATACACATCATGAAATGTAAAAGCTTTATCACGAATGCGCATTTGTCAAAATTCTGTATATTTCGAAAAACTAAAATGATTGTCATGTCACGCTTAACAAGTTATCAACAAGTATAGAAATTTTATAAGTTTTGAAAAACTAAAGTGACTGTCATGTTACGCCTAACAAGTTATCAACAAGTATGAAATAACAAGCAAAAGAAGATAATTGGAATGACAATCAGGATACGCATTATGAAAAATTTTATCATGAACGCATGTCAAAACTCTATAAGTTCGAAAAACTGTAACGACTGTTTTGTTTCTGCTTTTTTAGTCCGAAGAAGTTACCAACATGTGTCATGAAACTATTTTTTTTTTCGAAATTTGGATCATTTTCAATGTTTTGTACGTGCATGTTTAGAATTGACAAGGCACGAGAGAGACTTGAAAACTCAAGTGACAAAAGCAGAGAATTTGAGAACCAAAAATATTGTCTGACATGAAAACTCGAACGTTAGGCCTAACTGAATAAAGAAAATGGAAAGAGGAGGAACCAAGAAAAGTACTAGTTTGTGTTGTAATGTACCTGGGCAAAAGAGACGCAAGTAGAGCTTGTTTTGTTTCGTTTCGTTTTGTTTTGTTTTGTTTTTACAGAGCAGAAAAGAACAGAAAAACGCACCAAGTAAAAGATTTGTTCTCAACAATGCCGAAAAGGGCAAGCCCAACACGGGCAAACTAGAGTCCTAAAATGTTCATAATTCAGAAAACATGAAACACAGCTAAAAAACTGGCGTCTGGGAACATTAACTCATGAAGTGATTTTTTTTTTCCACGTCTCAAATTACAACTCAAACTTTTTTGTTACAGTATTTTCTCTTATAAAAATTCAAATTTAAACTTTTTTACTACAACATTTTCTTTCACATAAAATTAACTGTAAAACTTAAATTATTAACTCGATGTATAAAGAACATGACGGGTAGAAAAAAAAAAAGCAAAAAAGTTGTTCTTCAAAAAGCAGAAAAAGCAGAAATGGTGTATTCAATTGAATGGGAACATTATGCCTTGTGGCCTTAGTAACACATTTTCCATTTTTCAAAAAAAAAAAAAAAAAAAAAAAGTTACCGAACATGCTTGGCTCCCAAGTAACAGCAAAGAACACAACTACTTAGACATTATTTATTATTATTATTATTATTATTATTATTATTATTATTATTATTATTATTATTGTGGGGCCTGAAAGAGAATAGGTAAGCTAGTAGATAAGCCAAAAACCATTTCCAGACCCCCCACAAAAAATTAAAAAAAAAAATTAAAAAAAAACCATTGAATCGTAATTCAAAAACCCAAAAACAAAAATGCAATGTAGAGATACCCTCCAAAAAAACACAAAAAACAAAAAACCCACAAAGAACGAACCAAAAAAACAACCAACAAAAGACACAGAACAATGAAAAAAAAATCAAACAGAGTAGTAAAATAGTACAACGACAACAATAACTAGACGAGTGTGCTGTTACCTGGGCCGCCATGCGAGCCCATTTGTTGCCATACTTGGCATGGAGTTCAAGAATGAGCCTCTCCTCATCAGGCGTGAAAGCCCCTTTCTTCAAATTGGGCCTCAGATGGTTGGCCCACCGGAGCCTACAGCTCTTGCCGCACCGGTTCAGCCCAGAATGCTTCTGAACCGCGTTCCAGTTCCCCTCCCCGTGCGCCCTCACGTACTCTATCAAAACCTGGTCCTCCGTCGCCGTCCATGGCCCCTTCTTCAACGCCCCCTCACCGTTCGATCCCGACGCTCCACCCTCGCTCCCTGCTCCGCCGCTGTTCCCGATCATACCCACCCCCAATAGACGACACAACACAATTAATAAAACCCAAAAAAGATATATATAAAAAAAATAAAACAACGTTGTTTGTTGCTTTTGCTTGTTTCGGGTGGGCCCCTGTTGCTTTTTCTGCAAATATATAAATATTTTTTTTATTTTCACATTCTTTTCCTTAATTTTCCCTGCCTCTCCCCCTCACCATCTCTCTATCTCTTCTCTCTCTTTTTCTTTTTTTCCTTTTCACTTGTTAATAATTAATAATAACAAAGCACTCTTTTGGGGTTTTTTTTTGTTTTTTTTTTGTTTCTTGTTGTCCAAGCAAAGGAAGGAAAACGGGAAATGATGAATTTCGCTTGTGGATATGTTTTTGTTTGGGAACAAAAACACACCCACAATGAGGAATTCAGAAATGGAGAAAGAGTGAGAAAGAGAGGAGAGAGAGAGAGAGGCCCGGGGGGCCTGGTGTGAGAAGCAAAGGGTGGTGGTGGTGATTGGAAGGTAAGAAAAGGAAAAAGAAAAAGAAAAGAATAGGAGGGGAGAGAAAATTGAATTAAAAAATAAAGAAGAAATGAGAGAATAAGAGAGAGAAAGAGGAGCAAATTTAGGAGAGAGAAAAAAAAAAGTGTGGAGGGTGGAAAAGCCAGCGATGAAAGGCCTTGTTCTAATGGCTTACCTTTTTACGCGCTTTTTCTCCTTTCATTCAGGGATCTTTTTGACACCTCTTTCTTAGAAAATCTTCACTGTTTAGGCTTTAATAGTGAATTATACACACAATTACAATACAGAAAAGGTTAAGGCCTCTGTCACTTTACTTTTTACTGTGGGGAGACAGCAAAAATTGGGTGGTTTTGCCTTTTATATATATATATATATATATATAATTTTGGGCATGGAAAATGTGGTAAAAAGCCAGAGTTTGGGATATACACAAAAACCCATTTTAAGAGTTGTGCATTTTTTTTTGATTTCGTGAAGAGTAAGGCCTCATTACATGATAATATGATAACTTGACATTGCCCTTTTGTGTTGATTAATGGGTCTCATTTGAATCTAACATCTTGATTGATATCAAAAAGGGAAAATTTGGTGAATGCGCCTATCAAATGTGTACCATTACTATTTAAGTGGTTTCTTGCACTCATGCACCTTGAATAGTTGAATTTATTAGTATTTGACAATTTGGATTATGAGCATACAATTTTGACAAATTGGAATCTAAACTTAAAAATTTTGTTGCAATAGTGGTCCAAACTAGCGTACATCAATTAATGGATGTAAATGACATATGAATGCACTCCAAATTTTTTGTTGGTTAGCAAATTGAATCCTTAACCTTTTCAAATTTCTTTAGGGACCTAACCGTGGTCTATTAATTGGCAACCGTTATCAAATGGACTGCTTTGCCAAGAATTATCAAATTTAGGTTTCTAAATGACCAAATTAAAAATTGGAAGTCTTAACTTGCATTTTCTTCATGATGCACTATGCAATATCTTTAGATAGTTCACTTTTTTAGTTTTCACAATCACTGGAGACCGACTGACTTGTCACCAATAGTAAAAGTGATTCAGTTTGTGGCCATGGTCATTTACCGGCGTTGGTAGCCTAAGTCAACAAGCGACCACTAATCACTCATTGACGATTGACATTGATCACCGGAGCTAGCTAGTGGGAGACTGATTTACTTGTCACCGATGGTCGAAGTCACTCAGCAAGTGACCATGGCCATCCACCTGCATCGGTAGCCCGACCACTAATCACTCGTTGACATTGGTCGCCAAAGTTAGTGGATGACTCTCAGTCATCTGTTGGCGCTAGTCCACTGAGTTACTTGGTGAACAACTTCTATCATCAAACATTGCCCTTGACCAGAATTCAGCATTCACTAGGTATGTGACTAGCCTTTCTTAGATAGTGAGGGGGCATTAGTCTTAGTGGAATAGCCAAATGGGGGGCATTAGTCTTTAAAATAGACATAATTACCAATCACGTTTTGTGGTGATAAGTACCTCAAATGCTTAAGACTCTACAAAATGGAAATTTTAATATGGGGGACTTCTATCATTTATGAAGTTTCTCATTCATGGTTTTGATCACTTGTGCTTGAGATGTGGCTTCTATAGTTGTACACATATAAGTGGCAAGAATTGTACCTCAAAAAGTTCATAGTTTATTGAATGGAATACCATTTAATATGGAGGACCCTTCATATTATTCATTAATAATTGAAGGTTTCCATTCAACTAAGATAATTACGTAACCAAAGCTGATTGTAAATTTACTACTTTATTGACTTCATTCCACTTTTGCGGCAAATGGATTTTGAATTTTATAATTTTTTTTTTTTTTTTGTCCCGGATATTCCTTTATGTCTTTTACTATTTTCATGTCCACCTAGTTATGGTAAATGTAACTGCAGATAGTCTTATTTATATCATAAAGTTGCGTTGAAATTAAAACGCAGTTTACAATGATAGATGGTTAGCTATATGAAGGGGAAGGGGTCTCAATCAAAGTCAAACAATAAAAAAAAATGGAAATAATGAAATAGAAATTGATTTTCTTCAAATTAAGCACACCTTATTAAAAATAAATAAAAATAAGTGTGCGCAATTGACACTTTCAATTTAAATTGAAGTGAAAATAAACTATGATTGATGAATCAAAAACTAATTTTAAAGTGCACTCTCATATTTGGTGCAATATTTAATGCAATTTCTTCTTTTTTTTTTTTTTTTAGAAAGCATTTTTTGGCTAAGTCGATTCATTTATCATGTTCCTAAATCAGCATTTAATTAATCACAATATAAACATTTATTAATATGGATTACAAGTGTCCAATGTTGAAAAGATAAAGTAGCCAATTTTCTAAACTAACGCTTTTGACTTGGCTCATAGCTTGATGTGAAACGAATCAAGTTGATTGCAAGAAACACTAGCCAATGGTAATCCAACTAAAACATAGTGGAATTAAATAAAATGTGCATTTGCCATTTAATTCTATGTCAAATATATAAAATTTTCCACTATTATTTGTTGTCCCCTATTTTTTTTTTTTTTGTCTCCTTGCATGACTTTTCCTTACTAATTATTTGTCATGTTATTTAAATTTATCAACTTAGCTACCACATTAACCTAACTAGATACTACAAATATAAAAGCAATTAAATGAGATGTTAAAATTCAATTGGATGCACAAACAATGAGAAAAAACTACTTAATTAAAAGTTGTGGTCTTGAGCCTATTTTAGCCAGAGAAACAAAATATCTGAAAATATGTGGTGCCGTTGGGTCAAACGCAGCTTATTTTTGCTTCAATCCACCTACGGCCATGGACCAAAAGCACAAACAAAACACGCTTTTGTTTGCTTATTTTGACAATTCCGTGATTTTGATGTTAGAAATAAAGCGTTTGTTATTGTCAAAGATCAGAAACCTACCAAAATTGACTTTTCATAACCATATTCTATATAAATAGGTATGAGAAGAGAAAGCTTATCAATATTCATTTAGCCAAAACATAAATAGATAAAATCTTGTTAAGGCGTCAATACCTCCATGGCTCTGCTCCCAAACATCTTCGGGTGCTTCTCTGAGTCCCCGCAATCTTCGGAGTCCAAACAATACATATGCGACAGAGATGTTTGCGTTCTAAAAACTCGCGAGGAGAATTCGAAGCAGAAGCAGAAGCAGAAGCAAGGATTTGGAGTCTCTTTTGCCCTTCTTTCTATGAGAAAGTCTTGAAGATTTTAGGAGGGAAACTATGAAAAAGTGAATTGAATCAAGTCATTTGTGCATTTCAAGTGGCTGATGGAGAGAGACGGTTGATACGGAGCCTCTCATGCCAAAACCCTACATATTCTTGGGTCTCAGGGACAATAGTGTCTTTCCAATTGTATGTGTTAATTAATCTTGGCATCATATATTGCTGAGAAGTTCTAGATATGTACATCTTTGGTGATAATCTTTATTGGTTTTGAACCAATTGCAGAATGTAACACATTATAATGAGAAGAAAGGATTGGGGACATACTCATTGCATTTCCTCCTATAATTAGACGTGTCCTTTTATATCAGAATTAGGTAAAGCTTAGTTGAGTAATATTATTCAGCAACAATTGTTTGTGTGTGTGTGTGTGTTTTTTTTTTTTTTAAATGTACAAATCTATGCCCCATTTACCTATGCAATCATCCATACCTAAATGCTAAGGGCCAATCCGTTTTTTAGGGTGGGCGTTTCCTTCCCCTTCCCCCTCCTTTTCGTTGCCCTTTTTTTTTTTTTTTTTTTTTCCCTTTTTCTTTTCTTTTTTTAGCTTCTCTCATTTTCTTCTTTTTTTTCTTCCTTATCTTTTCTTGTTACATCTTTTAACCTTTGATTTTTATATATATTCAAATATGTCTTATTTAAATATTTTTCTTAAGATTATTTAAAATATTTTTTTAATTACCCTGTTAAATTAATTTATTCTCAAATCTGTCCTTACATAAACATCTTTTGTCTGGGATCCTCATAAATTTCAGCTTCAGTTGCATAAATTTCAGCTTCAGTTGCATAACATTTCGCACAAATTTTTTTTAAGGTGTTTTTTTCTTTTCTGTTTTTTTGTTTCGCGTCTTTTGCTTTAGATCTTTTTTCACACTTTTATTTTTATTTCTTTTATCTTTTTTTTTTCTTTTTTTTCTGACGATTTATATAACCATTATTTTAATCCATGTGTTTTTAACTACTATATAAGAAGTATGAAAATTGGATCACTGCAAAATATGCAACTAAGAAAGCAACAAATATGTAAAAAGATGTAATGATGTTGGAGGCTCACTTTCTATTAATTATTGGATCATTGCTATCCTTTCTTGTTTGAATTGTTTCTCTCTATTTTTGAATGAACTACAAGAAACAGAAGACTTGGAAAAAAATAAATAATAAATAAGAAAAGGAAATTTGCATCACAAGTACTCAAGCTTTTGAATTCTTGACACTTAGATCCTTTTTGAAATTTTGGCACTTTGAGTCTCCAAATTTGTATTTTGTTGACGGTGTAATTTAAGGAGTAGTGTTAAGTTATGAAGCCTAATTATTGCCCCAACCATTATTGCCTCACAAAGAAGATTTCACGGAATATTTCATTAAGGGTACATTCCAAATTCAAAGAATTATCTCATTAAGGTTAGTCTTGGGATTTCATGCGTATAAATTCAGTTGCCTTAAATTTTCTTATATAAAGTGAGCATCAATTTAAAGTTTGATAGAGAGGTTAAAAAGACACCTAAAAAGATTAAAAAGACAGAGAAAGTGTGAAATGTGCGATTTTTCTTCTATAAACTTTTTTATCATAGAGAATCATTACAGCCGCTAAAAGATTTGTCAGTTTTTTATTTGATTTATTTTATACGACTTCATTGCTCTTTTTTTTTTTTTTTTTTTTTTTTAATAACCCTGCAATTTTATGGCTCTTGGTAATATAGGGGTTTTTTTTTTTTTTTTTTTTTTTTTTGGATTGTTTCATTAATAATTGCCTAGAAATATTCCAAAACCAAGGTAAATCTTTAGACGAGACTACTGGTCTAGTTTAAAACGCAAGACCAATCACCGTCGAGAGTCGCACACGGCCTATGGGAAAGCAAAAACTTGTTTTGATGAATTGATTTGCAATGCAAACAAAAATTGAAAAAAAAAAAAAAAAAGGTATCAAATAAGGAGAAATAGTTGAAATTTTCAATTTGAGATGAGAGATTTTCCCATGTACACTACAGCAAGTATAAAGTGGAATTATCAATGCAATTTTCATGAAGGCATATCAAAACCAAAGGTGACTAACATCTATGCAACTAATCCTCAACCACCCGTCACAATGTACATAGGCCTCGACTAGATTTTATGCATAAATTACCGGATTAGGAGCTTCAAAACAATTTGTGTATTCTCATTATAGAATCAATAATCCTTCTAAACTTCATACGACCCCTTCTTGACATTGATATGTGCAGCTGAAAGTCGGTAATCGTCGACTCAACCATAATAGATGTATTCACGAATTTCCCTTGGAACTATATTGTCGGGCAAATCAATGGTCAATCATCCAATGTCAAGCAAACTCATCTGACTGAAAAGAATTATTCCTCTTCCCCCACTGAAAAATCGCCGTCAATGACCAGGACCTTGTGTGACCTCCCCCGAGAACGACAACAAGATTAGCGGCAGTCTTCCAAAAACGTTTTATTGAATGCACATCTCTCTGTTGTATCAACTCGGAGAATTTGTCACACTCGATGCTACTTACGCACCGACAACCAAACATTCCACGTCCTGTGTTGGGATCAACAAGTACCTCAATCTGTATCAAAGTTATCCCCACTTCTCAGAGTACCCACCTGTGTTCAGAGTTGTAAAGCAAGGTCTGGCTGCTGAGACTCGACCATAACACCAGACGACTGTTTCACTGGAGACCCTGGAGACTGGAAGCCAATATTCAAGTCCGGAGGAAGGGTGTCCTGTTTCTGCCTTGGCTGGGAATGAGGGCTCAGAGCACGCCAAGGGGACTGCATCTGGAACCTCGACAAGTCAGCTGTAGCTAGTTGAGGGAACATTATAGGTCGGTTTTGGAAGTGCGCTTCATTCCCAAAACGTGCAAGTTGGGGGAAGAATGCTGGAACTGGGAAATTGTTCTTCTCAGGGTGATATTGCATTGCAGCTGACACAGGAAATTCACCACGAATTCGTGCAATTTGTGATTGAGATTCCCTAGCTGGGTTGTAGAGTGAATCCGCAGATATCTGACTTTTAGGTGTAGTTGGATTCTCACTTGGTTGTTTAAATGCTCCAGCCCCGATGGACATCCATGCACGGGCAGCAGCAGCTGCAGCATTGTTCAAGTCATCTCTCTTTACTGACGGCATGGATGGCATGGCTTGTTGAGTATCAACGGTCGATTGATCTGAAGATTTTTGTTGCTTCTGTGTCTTCTCGGCCATTATTTTCATCAACTGTACTGGGTCACTTACACCCTGCTCCTGTCCATGCGGAAAATGGAGTCCTCCTTTGGCCATGTGATTTCCCTCAGATGGACTACTCATTCGACGGTCCAAGGAATTCCTAGTGTCTTTCCCATTCGGCAGCCCTCCATTTCCAGAAACAACTCCATTACTATCTGGCAACTTGAAAGGTACAGTTTGTGGAAGATTCATATGTCTTGGTGTTGTATCTCTCAACTTAGATGCCGCTGCTTCTGAATTTCTTAAGATTTTCTTTTTAGCAATATGGTCAGCATTTTTTGGACCAGCCGTGGGTAAAGAGTTGAGCTCAACTTGTTTTGGTACATAAATCTCGGGCTTAGAGAAGTTCCTTGATTGCACATTTGATTGCCGATGAATGGCATTGACAGTGACGGTGGATTTCATTCCAGCAGAGATAAATGCAGATGGTTTGGTTTCTAATTGAGGCCCAGTAGAGCTAAATCCAGATGCAGACGGTTTGGTTTCTAATTGAGGCCCAGTAGAGCTAAATCCAGATGTTTTGGTTTCGGATTGAGGACCAGTAGAGCTAAATGCAGATGGTTTGACTTCTGCTTGAGGCCCCCTAGAAGGAGGAAACAAAGATTGTCTTCCTTCCGAAAGAGGCCCACCAACAGTTGGTTCCTTGATAGGAACTGGAGTCTTAAAAGCTCTGTCATCCTTCCTCATTTCTCCTGTAGGATTATGCTTCGCAACCAAACCACATTGTTTTTGGCTATGATTTTCAAGCGATAATACTGGAGTTGGAAGTGGTTCGTATTCTCCAACCCAACCTCGACCGAATTTACACCCGGCAGGAAGTGCCTGTTCAATTCTCTGCGAGGCAACTTTCCAAGCTATAGGTCCGAGAGTTGCAGCAAAACGAGCCAGGCTTCTAGCATATGCATATTCTGCATGAAGCCCAACCTGATCCCAAAAGAATTTGAGATAACATTAAAATAAGTACCACATAAGCAGAAGCTTATACACATATAACTGCAGAAGCCAGGTTAAACAGAAGGATAGCAGAAATTCTTGCACCTACCGCAACCAGCTGCTTGATTTCAGACTCGAATGCCGTAAATACTGATTCTGATCTTACAACTGGTTGATTGGAAATGTTGAAGGTAGAACGTCGGTCTTCAAGAGTAGTTGGTTTCCTTCCTAATTTTGAATGAAGGCCCTTTGCTAAAATGGTAGATCAATCAAGCAATTAAAATGGGCGCATGAGACAAAAAAGGCCACGCTAGCACCAAATAGAGCAATGCAATGACAACATAGAATGCATTGTTCAAAAGGACTGACTTCAACAACAGTACAGTTAGCAATATACAACACAATAACACATCATTGGATGCTTCCATATATAAGTACTGATAATTAGGGAAGAAAACATCAAAAGGTCTGAAATCCATTAGAAAAAATTGCAAATTCGCAGAGAAAATTAGTACCTGATAAATTTTCTTCTGCCTTTTCTAGATTAGCATCATTCAAGGATGAATTACCCTCAATAGGGCCATCATTATTTCCAGGTCTCTCGGAGCCACCACCTTGTGTTGGATTCAAACTATTTAGTACATCTCCAGCTGTGGCAAGAGTGGCACCTGAGGAGAAATCAGAGCCCACAGTTTCCTGTGATGTTCGGTACAAAGGCTTTTTTATCTGCTTCTTGACTGTAGAGTTTGATTTTATTTTCTGCGCTAATTTAAGCTCTTTCTCAGAGCTTTCATAGCGAATCCTCAACTTCTCAAATTTCTTCTTTGCTTGCTCTTGGATAGCACGTGCCTTTAAAAAAAATAAATAAATAAAGGGATTAAAAGTGACATACAATTAAGGGAAAGCAGGAAAAGAAATCCAAGTTTTTTTTTTTAAAAGACCCTATACCTGTTTATGGTATATGGTTTCCGGAGAATTGTATTGCATTGCATTTGAGCATATCAAGAAAACATCACTCTGCATTCAGAAAGACCAGTTAAAATTTAATCCTTTCTGAACACACAATTTCTTGGAGAAGAAACATATCCTTCAAAATGTAATGTAACCTAAGAGCAGCGGAAGAAATAAAACATATCAGAGAAAGAAGTATTAGTCATGAAAAATTACAAAAAACATATGACCTCAACTTTGTAAAAACAAACATCAAAAGGCATGACAAAGCCAAACCCAAAATGGCCATAAAATCAATTTTATTTTATTTATTTTAAACACCAAGCTTGGATCGAGATTACTGATACAACTGATATTAACTCCATACCTAAAAACTGTACAACGTACTAAATCTTATATATAACCGACAGTTTGGACTCCAATAAAATGACCACTAAAGTTGTTAGTAGTATATATGCATCAAAATTATGGCTGATAACTCGCCTGAGTCTCCTAAAGAGTGACATTAATGGATCCTTGGCACAGAATGAAAAGGAATCAGAGAGCAGAATTTAACACATAAAATTTCCGGCGTGAAGTTCTCCAAAAGTTGGAATATTCACTTTATAAAGAAGGTGATGCGTGTAAAAAACAAAAAACAAAAAAAAAAGACAGGAAATTCCCCACAATGTTCTTTCCAAGAAAATCTCACTCAGACAGAGTAATGGCCCCAGCCACATTACTGAAATCACCATATGCTCCAAAAACCAAAATCCTCTTAGAAAGAAACAAAAACATTGCACCCACCTCAAATTGTTCCAATGTAGGATATGATCCATTTGCTAACTTCCTCCTCAAAGTAGTGAAATCCATAGGATGCTCAATCACATCATGATAGTCAGGCAGCTAAAATGGGAAACAAAACATAAGCGCACTCCTCAAAATGTAACAAATATTGTCTTCCACAAACATGACACTATTATCACTCTTTACTCACCTCCTCAGGATCAACTGGTTCTGCATATACACCATAAGTGTCTTTCCTGCCACAGTTTTCCATATTAACATTAGAAAATTCTAAAGCTTTGAAGCAAAAAAATGCAAAAATGCAAGGGAATTACTTTTGAAGCTTGTCAAGAATCAACTCCAACGTCTTCTTTTCAGGCAATGGGATTCCAGCCTGAGGCTCCGTTGGCGTCCCTAAACAAAACAAGACAAAAAATTCAATACCCCAACATCCAATTCCCACCTTGGACAACAAAAGAACAAAAAACCATATCCCAATTCACAATGACACCAGGGAAGTGAAAGCCAAAACTGATTTTAAAAAAATAATAATAATAAAAACCATAAACCAAAACGAACCTGGAACTGAGTCGAGCCTCTTTGAGTCCACTTTTCGGCTCCTTTCCTGTCACAATCCACAGGTCCCCAAAACGAAGGACGAAAATAAATGTAAATATCACAGTAAGCATAAATGCCTAAAGCTGAAGGCTGCGATAAATGAGGGCATTAGAAAGGGACAGAGACAGAGACAGACAGATAAGGCAGACAACAATACGTATGTTAGAGAGAGAAAGAGAGAGATGTGGATAGAGAGAGAGAGAGAGAGAGAGAGAGAGAGAAAGGTGGGGATTGGGGCTGGAACAGAATCTGTGGATGTGTTGTTGGTTTAGTTTTATATTTTGTGCTTTGACAGTTTGACTCACGAAACCGTATCTCTCTAATTCCCGACACAGAGAGAGAGAGAGAGAGCGCCTAGAAATATCACAGTAAGCATAAATGCCTAAAGCTGAAGGCTGCGATAAATGAGGGCATTAGAAAGGGACAGAGACAGAGACAGACAGATAAGGCAGACAACAATACGTATGTTAGAGAGAGAAAGAGAGAGATGTGGATAGAGAGAGAGAGAGAGAGAGAGAGAGAGAGAGAAAGGTGGGGATTGGGGCTGGAACAGAATCTGTGGATGTGTTGTTGGTTTAGTTTTATATTTTGTGCTTTGACAGTTTGACTCACGAAACCGTATCTCTCTAATTCCCGACACAGAGAGAGAGAGAGAGAGCGCCTAGAGAGAGAAAGTTAGATTTGGATAGAGAGAGTAATACAGAAGTTAGGACGAATTAGGCAAAAAAATAAAAATAAATCCGAAAAAAAAGGGGAAGAAAAAATCTCAGTGATATCAGCTGAGCTGGACACTCTCGTCCGTTGTTCATCAAAATCCATTTTCAAAGAATACGAAGCTTTTCTCTGTCTCCCTCTCTCTCTGTGGCCCCTCAGATCCACCAAAACGACGGCGTTTTTCAGCCAAAAACGTACCTCCTCCTCATCGTCGTCTTCGCCGCGACAAACGACGTCGTCTTGTTCCTCCTCCTCATCGTCGCCGCCGCCGTTAATCCGCCTCTTCTTGCGATTCCTCTCGCTGGCGCCGTCCTCGTCTTCGTCCTCGTCCTCGGAGCCGCTCGCCGGCGCGTGTCCCCCACGCGAACCGGTCGGATTCCTCCCCGCCGATTCCTCGTGGCTGAGCTTGACCACGAGCTTGAGCTTCTTCTCCCTCCTCCGCTCGTCCTCCTCCTCGTCCTCGTCGTCCTCGTCCAAGTAGTCGTCATAGTCGATGTTGTACTTCACATTCCGTCGCCGGTGGCTCCGCCTGATCTCCGGTTCCGCCGTCGCCGGAGACTCGCCGGCCGCCGACCGTCTTGCCAGATCTGCCTTCGACGGCCTCCCCTTCTTCTTCCTCCTCACGATCTGACCCATCTCTCTCTCGAAAACCTCTCTCTCTCTCTCTCTCTCTCAGTCTACTTTCTCTCTCTAGAAAACCTCGCTCTCTCTCTCTTCCTTTGGTTCCATTATTTTTCTTCGGGTTTGGCCTTTCCCCTTTGGCTTGGCTTTTCTCGAAAGCCTTGTTTTGGTGGAGATTCGTGGACTCCGAGCCTCAGGCTCGGACAGAGAGAGAGAGAGACACACCCGAGCCTGAGGTGCGGGAAAATATTGAAAGATCAATTTGGGTTTCAATTCTCTCTCTCTCTTCAAACTTTCATTTCTTCGGCATCAGTAGAGAGAGAAATAGAGGGAGGCGTTTGTTTGGTGCTGCCCGTTGCCCGAATTGGGGCTTGCGTGTGGCTTTGCCTACTGCCCGTTCCCTTTCTGCTTCCATCACTTGCCTCTTTTTCCATTCGGAGGAGACCTTTCCTAGACGTCAAAATGGCGCGTCGCTCTCACTCGTCACTCCCGGATTATATTACGGCCGTTTAGTTCGCTAATTTGAATTTTTAATTTGAATTGAGATGTAATTTTATGTGAAAATTTTTTATTATAGTAAAAAAATTAAATGTAACTATTTTTGAGAATTTTTTACCGTAATAAAACTCAAATCGATTAAATAAACATGATCTTAGGGTCCGTTCACTTCACTGATTCGAGTTTATAATTCGAATTGAGATGTGATTTTATGTGAGAGCTTTTTACTGTAGTAAAAAAGTTAAGGCCTCGTTCGTTTCGCTGATTCGAGTTTAGAATTTAAATTTTGCTACAGTAAAAAGTTCTCACAAACAGTCACATCTAACTTTTTTGCTACAGTAAAAAGCTCTTACATAAAATCACATCTCAACTCAAATTCTAAACTCGAATCAACGAAATGAACGAGGTCTAAATGTGACTGTTTTTAAGAGCTTTTTACCGTAATAAAACTCAAATTCTAAGTTCGAATCAGTGAAATGAACGGAAACTTATTCTTTTTATTTTTTTATGATTAAAAATTTTTAAAAAAACTGTTGTATAACCGATGGGATATATGTCTACTTTCTCATGGAAATTTGGCCTCACTTATGGAATTCATACAGGACCCACTCATAGGGCTCATTTTTTTTAAGAGAATGGAGATTTACCCTCATCAAAATAAATAAGATTATTCAAAATTAAAATGTGTCTTTTGTCATAATTATAATAATAATAAAATGTGTTTCACCCGAATTTTTATGTGAGAAATATAGGACTATTTCACAAAGCATAAAACAAGTGAAAAGAAAAACTCACATGTTTTGACATGGTCATTAGAAGTTCTTGCTACACGAAAAACCATGTGCGATAGTAATGTCTCGTTCACTTCGCAGATTTGAGTTTTCAATTCGAATTGAGATGTGATATTTTCTTAGAGTTTTTCACTGTAACAGAAAAAAAGTTAGATGTGATATTTTCTGAGAGCTTTTTACTATAAAAATTTAGAACTGAAAACTCAAATTGGTGAAATGAATGAGACCTAAATTAATTATTCATATCATACTTAGTTAACTAATAAACACTGATATTAAGTTGGCGAGAAACAAATACTTTTGAACTAGCATGTATTATTTGTACTTTGTTGATGAGATTTTTGGTATTCTATTGATTTTTAAATCTAACGTGTCAAAGAGTTGTATAGTTAATATTCGGTGCTTTTAGTTGTAGATCTCATGTTGTGTTTCAAAAACCACATCGAAGGATAAATAATATATTTTTAGAGAATTTGTGTAGGGTGGCCGACTTTAGCCAGCCATTTAAATTAAAGTCTACTTTTTTTATATTTTAAAAATACGGCTGAAGTTTTGAAGTTTTTTTTTGTAATATTCCAATATTAACCTTGTCTTCCACATATCTCGTGCCTCACATCTTTTTCTCTCCTCTCCGTCTACTCGTCAAAAAAAAATGGCAAACAATTGAGAAAAATGGCAACAAAATCTGCAAGGAAGAGATTCGACGAGATCTCATGTTGCTGTGGCAAAAGTGAGATTTGTCATGGAGAAACTAGATCTGCAGTGGCAGAATCCCTCATTTTTTTCGGCCTCGTTCACTTCGCGGATTCAAATTTTCAATTCGAGTTGAGATGTGACATTTTCTGAGAGTTTTTCACTGTAGTAGAAAAAGTTAAATGTAACATTTTCTAAAAATTTTTTACCATAAAAACTTAAAATTGAAAACTCAAATCAATAAAATAAATTCTTCTCACATACGACTATGATGGTGTGATGGCGACGACAACAAGGCAATGATATTGATGAAGGCCATTTTTGTCATTCTTTGTTTAATCATTAATGAAAGCCGACCATTTCTCTAATTTAGAAAAGTTGTGGTTGTCTACTTTAATCTGGCTCGTAAATCAGCCATTTATCCCGATATCTCTATATTCTATGTATTTTTAATTGTTAAATATGACATTTAATTGTAATAAAAACATATGATTAATTATATATTTCTCTAGTATTTTCTTAAAAAGAGTTTCTCTAGATGATATAATAAATTGTAACATTTTTTAGTAGAGATACTACACATTAGTGCCGGGTTTAGACTTTTGTATTCTAAATAATAGACGGATTAATAAGGAAAATGCACTAAAACAAACTCGGTTTCTATTAGGGCCGGCAATATGGGTCATGGCACGACTCGAAAACGACACGAAATTTGCGGGTTAGGGTTGAGAAAAAAGAGGTTCGGGTCAGAATTGGGTCGACCTGAAATTGACACGAAAAACACTGGTCAATTTCGGGTTGGACCCGCTTAACCCGAACACGACACGAAACTCGTAAAAAACTAAAAAATACATATATTTTTCATTTCATATTTTAAATTTTATTATGAACTTGTGATATCATGATAGTTATACTCAAAATCTTATACTATTATTTGCTTAATTTCAATGGATGTTATTGTAATTTAGTGTATTATGAATTTTAAGTTATTTTTAATATGTAAAAAACTAAATAAAGTATACAATTTTCGTGTCAATTTCAGGTTCACAGGTCAATTTCGTGTCACGGGTCATTTTCGGGTCGTGTCGTGTTCGTGTTGCGGTTTTTAAAAAATTTCGTGTCACAGGTCGTGTTCGGATTGGCTATAAATTTAGAAACAAACGATCAAAACACGACACGTGACACGAATTGTCACCCCTAATTTCTATTAATCGGAAGTCTGGAAAGTTGGAAACAACATAACAACAACTTTTTCAATACAATAACTTCTGAATTTAGTAAAATATTAATTAACCATTATTACCTTCCGCGTCAAATTATTGGAGGACGACAGAAGAATTTCCCAAGTTAGATGAAGACTGTGGTCCTATTTATTTTACCGATTCGAGTTTAAAATTTAAATTTTGTTACAGTAAAAAGTTCTCAGAAACAGTCAAATCTAATTTTTTTACTACAATAAAAAGTTCACATAAATTCACATATCATCTCGAATTAAAAACTCGAATCAACGAACTAAACAGGTCCCGCGTTCATTTCACCAATTCGAGTTTTATTACAGTAAAATATTCTCAGAAACAGTCATATCTAACTTTTTTATTATAATAAAAATTCTCACATAAAATCACATCTTAATTTGAATTAATAATTCGAATTAACAAACTATTCTCGTTCGGTTTGCTAATTCAAGTTTTTAATTCGAGTTGAGATGTGATGTTGTGTGAGAGTTTTTTATTGTAGTAAAAAAGTTAGATGTGACTATTTTTGAGAGCTTTTTACTGTAATAAAACTTAAATTTTAAACTCAAATCAACAAAAAAAAAAAAAAAAACGAGGTCTAAATGGTCCAAAATATTTATCGTGGTATGTATTGGTTTTTTATGTCTGAAAAGAAAATATATTTTTTTAACTAAATGCAACTCACGCGCCAAGAAGCGAATTTCAATTACAGATGAAAATTTGAAAGAGACCGCCGTGACCTAATGTCGCGTCGCGTAGCCCACCACGGCAGTTTGACTAAATAGCCACTAAAAGCCTCGCTTTTAGCGGTCCTCCGAGTGAGGACTGATTCGTCATTTCCGTTTATCTCCAAAGATCTTTTTCTTTTTCTTTTCTTCCTTTTATTTTTACGCATTTCCTCCGCCTATCAAATATGATCACAGCCGTCCAAACCAACCTCGCACGGACCATGATTGTTCTGTGACTCGCTGATTAATTTGATTCCACGGCTGTGATTGTGATGTCACAAAAGTGGGCCAGGAACGAATTTCTTGGGATTCTGAGCCTAAGGAGGAGCATTGAATGTGAGCAACTGCAAAGGCATAAAAGAAAAAGAACCGAATTTTATTAGTGCAGGTGACTCCTGAAATTCAGCTCCTCCTTATTTTCTTTCCCCCCTTGCACATGATGGGTCCCACTCAGTGTGGACCTACTAACCATGTGGGCCCGCCGGGGCCCACAGGATGGATGATGGAAGTAATGATTTCATAGTCAGCTTAGGGAATGTTTGTTTGAAAGATTCAAATCATGATTTGAATTATGATTTATAGTTCGTTATAGTATTTTTTTTCACAAAAAATATATGTAAATTAAAAATAATTCTAATCACATAATTTTAATCTATGAACCAAACGTCTCTTTAATACGACTTGTCTTAACGAAGGGAGCTGGGGGCAACAAATTACAGCCGTTGGATTTATTAATCGTGTGTTTAATTAGTTGATTCGTACCATGATTTGAATTATAATATTTTTTTTTATAAAATATACACATAAATCAAGAATGATTCTGTATGACGCGCCTTCAATAGTACACACCCACACCACAAGCCTGTTTAGTAATGCTGCAGATTTTAAAAAAATTATTGTTAGCTATGTTGAAAAAAAAACTAGCTGTTATAAAAAATAGTTAAGTATTTAATAAATTGTAATTTTATAAATATTGATTCTAAATGTATTTATGGATATTATGAAAGTTTCATTGATTATACTTGAAGGTGATTGTCGCATAATTTAAAAACTAAAATTATTTTTGAGCTACTTCTGATTTTAATTGTAAATTCTTCAAAAATTCTTTAAAAATTATTTTTTATAATTTCTATCAAATATAAATTTTTATTAGTGAACCACGAATCATGTAGCTTAAACTTCAAGAATCATTGTTAAACATATCCGTACTTAACAGAGAGTTTTTTTCCTCCTTAATATAGGAGGAAAAAAATAATAATGAGAAGGATAAGTAAAAATATTTGTTATTAAAAAAAATCAATCTTTGACGCCAAATGTGTTAAAACATTATCCTGAAAAAAAAAAGTGTTAAAACATTAGTTATATTCACAAAAAATAAAAATAAACATGTTTTAAAAACGAGATTCCTATTAGGTGTATATTTATTGAAATTGTATC